CTTGGCGCAGCGGCTGGCCGAGGAGGTGCCCCAGGACGTGGCCTCGTTCCTCTACACGGGTGACTCGCGGGAGCTGCGGCGTGCCAACTGCTCTGGCAGGTACGAGCTGGCCAGCCTGGCCGGCAAGTCGCGCTTCGCCTCGCACCCCTCCTTGCACGGCGCCCTGGACACCCTCACCCACGCCACCAACTTCCTCAACATGATCCTCCAGAGCAATAAGTCGCGGGAGCAGAACTTCCAGGAGGACCTGGAGTGGTACCAAGCCTTGATCAGGAGCCTCCTGGAGGGGGACCCCAACATCTCCAAGGCAGCTATCACTTTCAGCACGGAGCCTTTCTCCTCCACCCCCCAAGTTTTCCTGCAGGCCAGCAGGCACGAGAGCCAGATCCTCCTGCAAGACTTGTCCTCCTCGGCTCACCGCCTGGCGAACGCCTCCGTGGAGACCGAGTGGTTCCACAGCTTGAAGCGCAAGTGGAGGCCGCATCTGCACAGGAAGGCCCTAAACACGGGCCCCAAAACTTTGGAGAACAGCTGGAAGAGGCGAGAGAGCTTCACTGCTGATAAGAACCACATCAGGTGGTCGTCACCTTTCCTGGAGTGTGAGAATGGGAATTACAAACCCGGCTGGTTAGTGACTCTCTCGGCAGCTTTCTATGGACTACGACCAAACCTGTTCCCCGAATTCAGGTAAGAGTTGCGCTCCTCTCTCTCCGTTTCCTCTTCGGAAGCGGGTTGAATGGCGTTTCCACTTCTGAGCCCCTTTCAGAGGGGGTGAGCTGTGTCTCTGGAGTGACCTGATCGGCCCTCTCCAGACTGGCTGCTCAGTGTCGCCACAGGGGGCACAAGGCTTTCCTTGGGGTATGGCCTTCCTGTTGAGCTTTACCTTGGTGTGTCTTGGGGAGCTGTTGCTCAGTGAAAGAATTGCTTTTATTTTAGTCTGTAAAACGCTATGTTCTTTAATTGCTCTCACTGGAAAAGGTGTGCATGTGGGTTATGTTGCTAATGTGCTCCTGTGGGGAGAGGAGAGCAGGAGTTGCCGGTTTTAGTTTATTTCTGATTGTAAGAGGAAGATAACGCATCGGCAAACGTTTCTTACTACACTGCATAATTAAAACTGGCGTAACCCCAGCTATGACTTTAACCAGCTGGGAAACAATATTATTGTACTGTAAACTGCAGTTGTTGATCTCCAGAGCACATCTGCTGAGGGGGGCTCAAGCCTGGTCGATGTATCTGTAGGTAAATGTATGTTATGCAGTTCTACCATACTGCATATGGTTACAGCCTAAACTGGTAATAGGAAGGATTTTCTTAAGGTATTGTCTATAGGGACTCCCCCCTCCCCCCAAAACTATTATGGCCCTCTTGTATAGTTGGTGCCTGGCATATGTAAAGGTGCTTGTTTTTTACTACTGTTACCCCCAGGATTTAGCCACTGGGCTGCGACTAGTGAAGAGGAGGATATGAAAAGGCCCAGTCTCATGTCCTGTTATTTTAGCAGCAAAGAACTTGTAGTGGATGGGTTGTACTTACTCTTTGGGCGGGATTTTGTATTTTTGCGCCAGAACTTTTGTAGTGGGGGTCGTGGATAATTCTGTTTATTGAGGATTGTCCACTGCCCTAAGGTAGTCAGTATTTTCCAGGGAATAAGAGATGAGCACTGATTTTGTTCTGTAGTGGGATGCAGTGGTGGGTGAATATAGACAAGAACACAGCAAAACTGAATGGATTTCAGTGGACCTAGGTGGCCAGGCAGTCACCTATATGAGCATTGGTTTTCTTGGCTTCATCTGAAATCCAGTGGGATCAAACAGGTATGAATGCAGTTATGCATCCTTGCGGGGGGTGGGGGGAAATCTGTTGATTAGAAAGTGGCTCCTTATCTCCCTACAGAATGGTACAATTTCCACACTTGTGGAGGCTGGTAGGATTAGGGTAAAATGACGTCATGTTGAAGGTGGTGGTGAATTCCTCTCGAGCAAAAATCAAGAGGAATTGCGTTTCTGAACTTCTCTGGACCATAGTCTGGTCATAGAAAAGTTCAGGAAACTTCTCATAGTTTTTGCAAAGCAGTGTTTTACGGGTGATGAACTTCTGGGTGCAGATGAATGCTACTGTAGCATGGCATTATCTTGTTGGGTATACGTTTACTTAACCTCAAGCACTGCCAGCTGATTGGAGACTGCTGCCCCACCCCCAGCCTATCTGAGAACTTAGATCTTCATATAAAGCTTAACTCAAAGAAGCTTTGCTGTTGACTTCAGTCAAAACAAGAGCAGGTCTTAAGCAACAGAATCTAAAGCTTCAACCTCAGCTCTGTGCCAAGATCCTGTGATGCAGAAAGCATCTTGGTGATGTTTTCCACTGTAGTAGCTCTGTCCAGTGCACGCAAGGTGCCAGGACCATTTTGGAGGACAAGCCAACTGGTCACACAAGCCAACCAGTAGAGGTCCTCCTGGTCCTGGTACAAAGTCCTTTACCTCGTGGTCTTCCCGGCCTCTCTTTACCATATGGGAATCACTTGACAAAGTATACTAATTAACCTGTTGTAAATCAAATGCTTTCAGGGACATCCACTAAGCATGCCTAGGTTTGGAGATCCTTTCTTCGTTTAGAAGCTCTTGCAATGAGACACACAGCAAATTTGAAGCGCTGCTTCAAATATTTTGATTTTGAAGCTACTTAAGAGTTAAGACAAAACTAAGTTTTGCTGTATCAAAACCAGAGATGAAACCAGGTATGGTAAGCATTTCTAAGAAATGAGGCAATATGTTTTAGGTCACTGTATAAGGAAGGAGGTAGAAGTAGTACCCATATGCTTGCTTTGGCAAGGCCAAGTGATGGTTTCTGTGCTCCTTGTCTGAGGTACGTTGCATGGAAGGTGGCCTTGTAGTAAAAGTTCACAGGAAACTATTATTTGGGATTTTGGGAAAAAAAGTAACTTTACAGCTGTATAGAAAATATTGAAAATCAAATAAACCTCCTTGAAGACTCGTAGGATGTTTTTTTTAATCCCAATTTGCTTAAATATTTGCAGAATATTTTCCATACTCAGTAGGGCACAATTAGGCAGCCCAAGCCTCAGTGTGAGTTCCTAAAAGAAGAAATGGATTCAAATATAAAAACGTAAAATCAAATGAAAAATCAAATGGAGTCATTAGAACATTAGTATTAATCATGCTAAGATGCCTCTCAAAATAGGTTTTATTTCACTTTGCCATCTGGTTTTGAGTGAGACAGTGGTTTAAATCTGCAATTCCTGTTTAAGGCCCATATGGTAAAAAGTGGTATGTATTAGTCTCCATCTTTTGAAAAAGCTATGTTGATTCTCCCAACAAAATGTCTCTGAGCCATCTGTTAGGAGCGTGTAAACTGAAGCATTAGCATGCTCCTTCCATTTAATAGTCTGGCATGAGATCATTGATAGTATAGTGCATGGTCCTTTAATATTCCTCTAACAGTTTATGTACCTTCTTCTTCACTGGCATGAGGTTTATTGCATAATATGCTAGGGCAAGAGACATTCATACACTACTTTTCTTGATGGAAGAGTTTTTTTCAGTTTATAGAAGGAAAAGCCATTGCATCTACTTTTTGGTATATCTTCCATTGCAGTAACAGATGGATGTGTCACATGGTGTAGTCAGAAAAAGTTTAATGGAGGAAAGACTGATAATTACTGCTGGTTTTATTCAATACTTGTCACTGTTGTGATGCTGCTCTCAATGGCATTCTAAAAATGCAACCAAAAGCCAAAACGTTGTTCTTTGCAGTCTGCAGGTGGAATCTGCAACCTAGCAGGTCTATATTATTATACGGCTCAGCACTCTGACCTGTGTCATAGGAAGCGTGCCTCTGTAGAGAATCACAGGAATTTGTCATTAAACTTCTCTAACTGCCTTTACTGATTTTTATTACACAATGACACTGAACCCTATTCTGCAACATACAGTGATGCAGCTGGTCTCTCTGCAGCCCTGCTGTTGAACTGGAATGGTGTGAAAAGCTGCATGTTGTGAGTTTGTTTCATTCTCTGAAAGTATTTACTTGGCCCCTGGAGGCTTTCATTGCTTCAGCAGTCTCATAGGCCAGTGAGGAGGATTACTCCTTGATCTGGAAGAAAGGTGTGCTAACCGTTAGCTGGTAGGAGCATAGCAGTTACAAAAACAAACAAAAAAAACCTCCAAACCCCCATCTCCTGGGTCACTGAGTCCAATCTCATGATACCACGTGCAGTGGAATTTGCTGGCCAAACTCCATCTTAAAATAGGTAGTGTCTGTTCATTCCTCCTGCCCCCCAACTTTCTCCTTCACTAACATCCTGGTAGGTCTCATGGTTGGAAAGCTTCTTCTGATTTCTAGTCTAAATTTATTCCGTCAGTTCTCATCCATTTGTTCCTGTTCCAGAACTGCCTTTTATCTTAAGTAGCACTCTTCTCTGATGTTCACTGCCCTGAACTATTTATAGGCAGCAGTCCCTTCTCCACCTTTGTTTACTACACCAAACAAACCAGCTTTCTTTAGTCTCTTGTCATGAGCTCTCTGTTGCTATGGTCCCTCTTCAAGTTCTGCTCCAGTATTTCTTGAGTATGGTTAGTTGGATTCACGTGCAATATTTCAGCCTTGTATAAAGCCTGTTGCTTTTGCAGTTTAAAGCGTTCTCTTGCATGCTACCCTTGTTCTTTTTTTTGAATGTTATACCGCAGTATGCCAACGCTTTGAGAAGCGGTCATTACTATCACCCTTTCATCTAGGAGGTTAGAATGTCTTTAGGATGCGGAGAGACTTTTTTCCCCATTTTCTAGCAAGGACAGATAGTTTTTTTCCTTCCAAATCCAGGAGGATATTTGCAATTTTTCTTAAGGACTATTGAGACAATGAAATGGAATGATGGTTATTTTGGCAGAAAGTGGCCATAATTGGAAAGCTGAGTATGTATTTTGAATGATGATGCGTTCTGGAACATTTAAAATTTACAGATAGCTTCGTTCTGAAGTTAGTCTGCACCAAGTGTTATCACTTAAATTTTTTGGTCTTCCTGGCATTTGATCATTCTCTTAATTATTGTAAAAGTATTCCTTGGTGCAAAGATTAATCTTTATTGCATGGTTAAACCCAACTCTTTCTTCTCAAAAGTCAGTGGAGTTTGCTGATTTCCCCTGAGTTATTAACAAGGACTCAGACCACTCCGGTGTTAGGTTATAATAGTATGCTTAGTTGGGGAGTCACTACTGAAGGCAAATTAAACCATGGAGGTGGACTGCATATGATGAGTGAATCTTATTAGTATTTTTGATTTCTTCTTGTTAAATATTTCAAATATGTTAAGTTGTTCGGTAAAATAACCATAAAAGTAATTTAAAAAAAACTTGTATGAATTAGTAACTTTTTTCTTTTAAAGATGGTTTAACTTCTTTATTTAATACTCCTTTTATGTTCCCTCTAGTATTTTTAATCTATTCTTCAGTACTGAGTTAGGAAAGAAAACTTATTTTAACTATTTAAGGAGACTGTTTCATTAAATTTTAGATTCACAAAATCTTATGACATCATACATTAGTTATGTAATCCTGAAAATATTTTAAAATGGCCACGCTGATATTTTCTTCTCTAACATGCCCTGGCCCATATTACATGATGGAAAGTGTGGGTGGACTTAGAACATCCTTTAAAAATGAAAAGGAATA